CCATTTTTAAATATACTTAATTTATCTTTACTTAAGTTACATAAAAATAACTTCAAAATTATTCTCAATCTTTCTCACATTCTCAAGTTTATATTTTCCTGATACAACTCAGCATTCAAATCCCTATCTCATATAAAGGGTACATGAATTATTCACTCACAGGGAAAAAAAAAAAATCAAGTATTTAGCAACACTCGAGATGCCACATGGTGTCTAGGAATCCACACATGGCCATTAAATATAGCACTGAAGTTATGAAGGAACCTTTCCAGAAAATCTGCAGGGAACAGGGCAGCATGATAACAGCATATCTCAAATTTACACACAAATTTATTTCTGTGTGCTGGGAACTGCACTTGGTCTTGACTGCTTAAAGTGGGAGGTTAGGAAACTAGCTGATGTGGAGAAACCTACTGGTATAATTGAATATAAAATCAGATAACACTTTAAGTCCTTTCAGATAGAAGTTCAATCTCCTGACATCAATTTTATGTAGAAACGATTGAAAGAATTCATAGAATTTTGTAGAGAACAGCAGAATATACACTAATATCCAGCATTCACAACAGACCAGTAGTGAGAACCACTCTAACAAAAATACAAACAAACAAACAAACAAACAACAAAAAAACGCTGCTAGTCTGATGTGAACGTGTGTCAGCAGAACTTTGGCAATCCTAGAGATGTTTAAGGAAATGAAAAAAGGTGAAATGATTGATACACAGTGATACCCTCCATTTTTGTTAAGTAAAGACTCCTGCAATTTCTTTATCAAGCCCAAAAGGATTGAAAAGTTTTGAACTACATGAATCTCAGCATACTGACAGTTAACTGTTAACTGTGCTTTTTCTCAGGAGACAGAAATCTAGTAGTGTTACTGTGCCTGCTGGTTGGCAATGGCTGCACCCCAGCAGAACGCTACTGCCACAAAAATTTGGAGACCCAGATGGAAGTCCCATGCTCATGCAGAAGGAAGACTGCAGCCAAAAAGAGCGTGGAGACCCAAACTGAGGTCTTACTTAAAGTTTCTGTCATGGTTTTGTGATTTTTGGTTTTCGGTATTCCACATCATAACATCATGTGGGGCACTGGGAGTTTGTCAAGTTCTGGGTACCTGCCCAGAAGAGAAGAAGAACTACATTCCCCAGGGGACTTTGTGGTCACAAAGAGGAGATATAACTCCTGGCAAGGTCACTTGATGCGCTCTTCTTTGTCCGCTCTTCTTCATCGGCTCTCCTCCCGTCTCCCTGATGCTCAACTGGACTGCGCATCTCACCTCAGTGTTGTGGTGAGGCCTATCCAGCTTTCGGACATTCTCTCTCTCATTATATTTGATTTATTAGCTTCAGTTTTAATTATATTGTATTACAGTATGTTATTTTGCATTCCGATACTACATTTAGTAAACAAGTTTTTCTCCTCAGATCATTGCCGCTGTTTTTAATTATTTTGAGGTCCCCTGTTCCCTTTTTCTGGAGGCATGGATTTTGCGAAATCCCTCTACCCCGCTAGTCACAGAACTGGGCCGAGCCAGCCCGTAAACCATTGACAGTTTCACAGAGATAAAGGCAACAATATTTACGCTACTTTTTAGCTTCCACAGTTAACCAGTCATATACAAACCTCTGCAAAAACATCCATTATAAACACAGCATGCTGGTGGAGTATAAGTTATCTTAACTATTTATGCAAGTAAATGTTTATATTCTTTTAATCACGCCTTTCTTTCTGAGAACCATTAAAACATATGCTTAACATCCTCGTTTTTCACTAGTCACACTAGACTAGACAGCTACTATCATGTTAATTCCTATCTCTTGATTGTAAATACCTCTGGCAACCCAACACCATTAGCAATTCTTCTAACTCTCGAGAAGAGGTTTAGGTTAGACTTAAGGAAGAACTTTTTTCTCTCAGAGAATGGTCAGGCACTGGAATGACTTGCCAAGGGAGGTGATGGAGTCGCCATCTCTGGCAGTGTTCAAGAGGTGTCTGGACGAGGAGCTGCGAGATCTGGTTTAGTAGCTTGTGGTAGCAGTGGTAGTGTGAAGACAGTTGGACTAGATGATCTTATAGGTCGTTTCCAACCTTGTGATTCTATGATTCTATGAAAAAACCATAAAAACAGTGTTTTGCCCAGAGGAAGCTACCCATATTCTTGGCTCATGTTGGACCCTCAACATTAACAGGTTTGTTATTATGTGTACAGACACTGAGCAAAAACAATTGAGTCTTTTACATTAGTAAATGGGTTTACATCAGCACTAGCAGAACACATAGGGCTAGGTAGAAGCTCAAACATGCTGCTGATTTCCTGGAGGATGTTTCTTGTTGCAGTTTCAGTCGGGGAATAAGAGACATAAACACAGAAGAAGTCATTCTCATTCTCTTTTGGGAAAGGGACAGAAAAAGATGAGAACTCTGAATTCTGAATTATTGTGATACCCTATTACTCAAGTCTGACCACACTTCCAATGTAATTACAGAAGCTTTAGAGTGAAATGAGCTATCATAAAAACACAGGCTACAAATTTAAGTCTTAATTTTAGGAGGATCTTAGGGCAGTCTTTTCAATCTGTTAGTAATCTTTGCAGTCTATGACTTCATCTTCTTTTAGTGAATTTAGAAGTAAGGAACACAAATCTGTTTTCTCAAAGGTCTAATGATTAGTTTTTAATTTTGACCCTACTTCGCCTCAGAGAGCTTTTCATTTAATTTTCAGTGCAATTAATCTGACAGAATGTTTTGTTTGATTTATCTTAAGTATAAACCAGTATGGGGGAAAATTAACCTTGTGGTAATAAATTTCCACCTTGTTCTCAATAATTTCTGTTAAAACTTAACTTCAATCTGGAAATAGACTTTTAAAACACTTTTTTAGTGCAACTCCAAAGATTTATATGATGCAATACTCAATGACACACAAACATAAAGTTTAGTTTTTATATTTAATAGGAGGAAAAAAAAAAAAAAAAACAGGAAAAATTATATAATTCAAAAAAATTACTTTTTAAACAGTTTTGAGGCTGTTAATTTTTTCATTTACTCTTATCACTGGTCATTCACCTTTTGGTTGTTCAGAAAAAAAACATGTTATCTCCAAAAATTTGACTTGAATCTGAACAAAGAGATTTTATGAAGAGTTTTCTCAAAGATTCGTAATGAAATTCAGTTTGAGGTTAATACAACTGTTTTAGAAGTTTATAAGTGCATATCATTGATGTATGATGCCAACACATTTATATTTGCGACGCATCCATGATAAGCAGAGGAAATCTAGGATTTAATTAAATTGCTAAACATAAGATATAGTTACACTTCAGATTATTTAAGGTATCCAGGATATTCCCATGAGGACACCATAAAATCAACTGAACACAGTATGATTACATAAACAAGGGACACTAGTGCTATTAGACTTGTCTCATAGTGTTCTCACATTTTTGGGCCATAGAGACACTAGAGGAAACCTAACAGCAAATTTGAAAATATCCAGTCAACTGTACAGCGGTTTGTCTCCATGGAAAAACACTCAGCTTGGTAATTCAGGGACAACTTGTTTATGTGCAATTGGTAGCACAGAAGTAAGCAAAGTATGTGATGTCTAGATAACTTAAGAGCTTCTAAACACAGAATTATTTTGCTATCTTGCTGATACATTTACTGATATTTTACCTACCAAATTTTATGTTGAAAAATGTAAAACAAACAAAAACAGAAAAAAGAAAAACTCATAAACCGTCTCTGAAACAGTGCCTGTAAATCTTAGCATCATGAGTTATAGTAGTTCTTATTTTAATCATCTCCTTCCTAGCATTCTTTTCTGCTCCTTTCCTGATATCTCTCAGAGTATGTATTCATTTATTTACAGTGAACAGTATTTAGTTATGTTATGAAGGGCCATTCCAATTTTACATTCATCTTTCTTCCCATGTTCTTCAAACATTAACTGAAACAGAATAAATACTTGGGCATGTCAGAGAATCATATGCTATGCCTAAGCTTTCCATTGATGGGTATCAAATACGACGACAGCTGTAGAGAAAACATTAAGAAGCATCAGTGGAATTGCATGGGAACCTGAAGGCTATCACTGCACTGTATTTAAACATTCTCTCTTAATTCTACACTAATCTGTGCAAGTGAGATGTCTACAGAGAGTCCAGAAAAAAATATGGTTGATTAAAACATCTAACCAAACATATTCCCTATTAATAGAAATATAATTATATGACGGAAAATCCATTTCAGTATATCTGAGGAAACCTATCCCATGCGTCTAATTCTCTATTTCAGCTTGGTTATTACATGCTGTGTTGCCAACGTCCACAGAAAGATTATCAAAAATTTAGTACTGATTGTTCTATGAGGGTTCAGTTATTTACTCAGTGCAATCAGAAGATCTCAGAATCCATAAACTTGTCTATGAACTTCAAAAGCTTTTGACATATCTCTGCAGAAGCTCTTGCAGCAGTTTAATGCTTATAGCATTTTTTTTTTTTAAACAGACATGGAGAAAGGCTCAGAACACCCCCATTGCTCAACACTGGCATGCTGCAAACTACGATTAGCCAGCAAAAGGCTTTATTTATTTATTTATTTATTTATTTATTTTTGTCCTAGTGTAGGTTTCCAAGAAGGTCTGTGATGGGACTCTGGTCAATAGCCAAACACATACACTTCTTCTCAATACTCTTATGGGACAGAGATAAAATAGAAGGAAGGTGAGAAGGCTCATTATATTGATATGACAGTCTCATAGGAAAAACAAAACCCGTTTGTGTTGGTTAATCAGAAAAAGGAATTCATTCACAACTTCTCATCAGCAAGCAAATGTCCAGATGCTTGCTAGAAAGCAGGACCACAGCATGCATAACAGCTGGACAGGAAAACACCAGAGATGACCCTCTAGTTTTCATCCTTTTTAAAAATCTTTTTATCTTTTTCTTGTTGCAGTTTTCATGATAACAGTTATTATATTCTCATTAAAATAAAATTACCTGAGGTGGAAGCAGTGGTAATCTTATATATGCAAGCAGCATACTTAGGTCACTGCATCGCCTCTGCATATCATACTTCACCCACATCATTAAGGCATGGAAAATGGTCTCTTCATCAGGAACATTCACATCATCGCTAGCAAGGAGTTTATGGAGTTCCTCAGCTGGTAGAAGTAAAAATTCTTGATTTCTTATAACTTCCATTATATTCTCCTGAGAAGAAGAAAGCATTAATTTTAGTTAATTTTAAAAGATTTAATAACACTGAAAGAAAATAAAAGCAGTTGTTAATATATACATAGGATTAGTTAATATCCATCTTTCTTACAGATCACAAGAAAAAAAAAAACACAGATTATTAACAGCTATATTTGTAATTCATAAATGAACATATTAAAACGAAAGGAAGATTGTATGGTAAAATTGTAATAAAAATGTCAGAATTTAGTTAGAAAGGCTAGAGCAGACCTATATATTTAAAAGAAGGTGTTTTCTGTTGGTCCTTTACAGGTAGATCCCACAAATGCTCACACAGGAACAGAAAAAGAATTGTATGTAATTTTGTGAAGACCTATTTTTAAATTGCTTGAGTAAAAGCCAAAAGGTACCAAAAATTTATATTTTTCTGGCCTTTGTTTTTATCCACTGACTCCGAACAAAGTAAGTTTAAATTGTGTGCTTAGAATCTTGTACAATAGCCTAGAAATGTAAGGGAAAGAGTTTGCAGGCACTTACCTATAAGTTGGCTTAATTCATTTTAATTAAAAAGCCATAAAACTCAGAAAATTTCACTGCACTTCTCAATAAAATGTTTTATAAAGCAAAATTTAATTAAGGCTGGTTAAACTGACATTAAATCCCATAATGAAGAAAATATAACTCAACAGATTATTAGAAACCAACATGAAACTTTGCAATGGCATATTAATCCAAAGTCCTAATATTACTGAAATGCATTATGATGGTAGAATACATTTTATGAACTCACAGAACTTAATTAATGTTGAATAACTTTCAGAGCAGGGATATTGAATAATTATATTACTATTTTGATTAAGATTTCTTTTAATTTTAAATTATGTTTTCTTTTGGAGATATACTTAAGATGATCTTATTCCAGCCTCTGTACTGATTTACCATTGAATGAAAGCAACATCAAACAGTTTCCAGACAAAATGTGAGCTTGCTAAGCCCAAATCTTTTCTTCTAAACATCTGAATTTCCAGTAGTTTCACGAGTCATGGTTAAGTAAACTGTTGCCTTTAAAAGTTTTAATGAACTGCAACAGCTGTATGTGTGCGTGCGTGTATAAATATATATATGCACTTATATGACATATTTATGCATATTTTATGTATATAAAACTGATTTTTTCATCTTCAGAGTTAAAACAACAACAAAAAAAATCTCCCTCCTTTAAGTATTTAGCATTCCTTAAATTGACTTTTGACTGTGAAAAACTTCTACATCACATTTTAATTTCTCTAATTCCATTTTATTTGGAGTGGAAAAGTACATTTCAGTGAGTTGCTGTTCTATCAAAACATAGTTTACTATATATTTTCATTACTGAAAAGAGATCTGCCTCTCTTCTAAAATAAAATCAACCTTCATATTTTTATCTTAGGGAACAGGATGCAAAAGACATGTGTGATCCACTGTTAAAATTTTTGGGATAATTGAAATAACTCTCTTTTAATTCTCCAGGAATTAGTGTTACAGATAGTCATTGAACTATTCAGTCTTGCACTAATGAAATGCTTTTAGGAATGCTCTGTGAATAATGATTCTCACCATTTAAGCATGTCCGAAGTTATATGACAGCAGTGTATGAGTTTTCAGAATTTTTGACTCCCATACTTACAGAGCTTTGTAGATCTGATCTTCAGTGTCACTTAAGTTTTGTAAAATTAACTGGGATGTGACTTATTCACTTAGTCTTTCACTTAAGCAAGAATTGTAATGTTTGAATTAAGTACTGAATTTGTTTTAAATTAGAAAAGCTAACTTAGAGTAGATAGTACGAAAGTCTCCAAACCTACTCAGAGAAAGCTATGTCTCATTTGGTTGACCTTCTGTGTTATCAAAACAATCATGCAGTAACTATTGCTGTAGGGCCAAAGCATTTCCAGGACAGTGCTGCTTCACTTTTAAATCTTTACAGCAGCATAGAGAATTAGAATTAAATGACCATGAAATGTTAGCTGAGTAAAGTCATATAAACAAAATCTATCTATATTTGAAAGTAAACAAGTAAGCATCTGTATATCTGAGTCTAAAAGATTATGTATCACAGGAACATAAAATGTTCTAAAAGTTCTAATAGCTCTAAACTATTACCAAACAGAATTTAACAAAAATAAATTATATGACTTATATCCTTACAATGAAGTTAATGATATAAATGATTTTTTTTTTTTTTAACCAAGACTTATAATGATCATTATTTCATATGAAATGATATTTTTGACTGTTAGTTCTTTTTGATGCGTGACACTGACTTCACTAATTAGCATGTGGAGTTTAAAGAAACTTCCGTATTTCTATGATTCTGTGATTCTGAGTACTGTGTTCAGCTTTGGACACCTCAGTACAGAAGCGACATTGAGGTGCTGGAGCAGGTCCAAAGAAGGGCAACAAGGCTTGTGAAGGGCTTGGAGAATATGCCCTACGAGGAGAGACAGAAGGAACTGGGGCTGTTTAGTAAGGGGAAAAGGAGGCTGAGACGAGACCTTCATGCTCTCTTCCAATGTCTGAGAGGTGCTTACATCGAGAGTGGGGTTGGTCTCTTCTCTCTAGTGCGAGGTGACAGGACGAAGGGAAACGGCCTTAAGTTGTACTAGGGCAAGTTTAGGTTGTATATCACGAAAAACTTCTTTACAGAAAGGGTTGTTAAGCACTGCAATCAGCTCTCCAGGGTGGTGGTTGAGTCACCATCCCTGGATATGTTTAATAACTGTTTGGATGTAAAGAAACTTCACAGGATAAGGAAAAGGCAGAGGTTCTGAGTGCCTTCTTTACGCCTGTCTTTAAAGGTCAGACCAGTTATCCTCAGGGTACTCCATTCTCTGACCTGGTAGTCTCCGCTGGGGAGCAGACTGAACCTCCCATGATTCAGGAGGACACAGTTAGAGACCTACTACTCCAACTGGACTGTCATAAGTCCATGGGTCCGGATGAGATTCACCCGAGAGTGCTGAGGGAACTAGCAGAGGTGACAGCCAGTTGTTTTCCATTATCTGTTAGTGCTCCCTGTTGACAAGTGAAGTCCCAGAAGTCTGGAGGCTTGCCAGCGTGACTCTCATCTACAAGAAGGATTGTAAGGAGGACCCAGGGAACTAAAGGTCTGTTAGCCTGACCTCGGTGCCAGGGAAGGTTATGGAGCAGATAGTCTTGACATGACATGTGTGGAACAACCAGGGGATCAGGCTTGGCCAGCATGGGTTCACGAAGGGCAGGTCCTGCTTGATCAACCTGATCTCCTTCTATGATCTAGTGACCAGTCTGGTAGATGAGGGAAAAGCTGTTGATGATGTCTACCTAGACTTCAGCAAAGCTTTTGACACTGTCTCCCACAGTATTTTCCTGCAGAAGCTGGCAGCCCATGGCTTGGATAGGTACCCCCTTAGCTGGATAAAGAACTGGCTGGAGGGCTGCGTTCACAGAGTGGCAGTGAATGGAGCTAAATCCAGCTGGTGACTGGTCACGAGTGGTGTTCCTCAGAGGTTGGTACTGGGGCCTGTCCTCTTCCATATCTTTATTGATGACCTGGATGAGAGCATTGAGTGCACCCTCAGTAAGTTTGCAGATGACACCAAGTTGGCTGGTAGTGTCGATCTGCCTGGGGGTAGTGAGGCCCTACAGAGGGATCAGGACAACTGGATAGTTGGGCTGAAGCCAACGGGATGAGATTCAAGGCCAAATGCCAGGTCCTGCACTTTGGCCACAACAACCCCAGGCAGTGCTACAGGCTTGGGGCAGAGTGGCTGGAAGACTGTGTAGAGGAAATGGACCTGGTACAGAGGTCAGGCTGACAGGCCTATAGTTCCCCAGATCCTTTTATGGCCCTTCTTGAAGATGGCAGTCACATCAGCAAGCCTCCAATCCTCTGGGACCTCTCCAGTTAACCAGGAATGCTGGTAGATGGCCGAGAATGGCTCAGCAATCACCCCCGCCAGCTCCCTCAGCATCCGGGAGTATAATCCATCCAGTCCCATGGACTTGTGACAGTCCGGATGGAGGAGGAGCTCTCTGACTGTCTCCACCTGAATCGCTGGGGGTGTTTTCTGAGTAGCATCCCAGACTTCCAGATCAGGGTGTAAAATGCCCAGAGGATAACTGGTCTGGCTATAAAAGGCTGATGTAAAGAAGGCATTGAGGACCTCAGCCTTCTCCTTGTCCTCAGTGGCCACATTCCCTGCTGCATCAAGTATAGGATGAAAATTATCCTTGGTTCTTATTTTGCCGTTGATATATTTATAAAAGGATTTTTTATTGTCTTTTACTGCAGTGGCCAATCTGCGTTCAAGTTGGGCTTCAACTTCCTAACTTCCTCCCTGCATATTTCAGCAACCTCCTTGTATTCTCCCCAAGTAGCCTGTCCCTTCTTCCAGAGGACATAGACTCTCGTTTTCTCCCAGAGTCTCAACAGTAGTTCCCGGCTCATCCACACCGGTCGTCTTCCCCTACGGCTCACCCTACGGCATTCAGGGACAGCCTGTTCTTGCACCTTTAAGATTTCCATCTTGACGAGCGTCCAGGCTTCCTGGACCCCTTTAGCCTTGAAAAGCAACTCCCAAGGGACCTATTGCTACAAGCGCCCTGAATGGATCAAAGTCCGCCCTCTGGAAGTTCAAGAAAGTAGTTTTGCTGGTCACTCTTTTCACATTTCCAAGAATAGAGAATTCTACAATTCCATGGTCGCTCTGCCCAAGACGGTCGCCAACCTTCATTTCTCCCACCAGTCCTTCTCTGTTAGCGAAGACCAGGTCTAGCAGGGCACCACTCCTGGTAGGCTCTCCTACCAGTTGCATAAGGAAGCTATCTTCCACGCAGTCTAGAAACCTCCCAGACTGCTTCCTCTATGCTGTATTATATTTCCAACATATATCAGGGAAGTTGAAGTCTCCCATGAGAACTAGTGCAATCGTGTGACTTCTGCAAGCTGCTCATAGAATGCCTCATGCAACTCTTCATCCTGATTAGGCAGTCTA